ATATCTTTCAGCATATGGTGTCACTGATCCATAAGTCAGCTCAAAAGTGACTATTCCGTTTGTGTCTTTATTTCATCTATTTTTATAGGTAGTGTCTTAAAACTCAGTTGTTGAGAAGAGCATAATCTTATTTGAATTTTGACGTTGCTCTTTATAAAAGAACACCTATTCATGCATATGCAACCCTTTTTGGAGCTGAATGATTCAGGCCAAATTGCTATCATTTTATTCGCATTATCAGAACTGTAATCACACATCCATGTCATAAGTGTTTATTCTCTTCTTTTGCATTTGTATGTCTTTAAACTCAATATGATGTCTAAAATGAAGAGTGAAGATGTTAAACAAGCAGAAAAATGTAAAGTTTTAGCATTATATTGGGCCAGTTGAAATTTTGAAAAATTTTACATTGTAGGAAAGAAACATGCTCGCAAAGAAATGAATGATCTGCAAAAAAAAATCAAGCATAAAAACAGTACAGAGGAATGAAGAAAAGATTTGATCTAGTGTCAAAGCTTCAGGTGATACTTCGGCAAAGTTTGCTCTAGTTTCAAGAATTCCTCAATTAAAAAAAATAGGTAAATGTTAATAACTTGGATTGAGAATCAAGTAATAAAAAAATGGTTTATGCAGATGGTGCTGCTGTTCAAAGGAAAGTTTTAGATTTGTCTTCTTTCGTTTTATGTAAAGTTGGCCAGTCTTCGGAGCAAGCAGTCAAAAGTTGCCTTGAAAATTTTAAGCCTTGTTTTAATTTCCGCAATGTAAAGCTTTAGGGTAAAGTTGGCTCTGCTGGGGAAGAAGCGGCAGAGAAATTCTGACCTCAATTTTTATAATTAATTGAAGATAAGGATTACATTACACAACAAGGTTTCAATGTGGATGAGATGGGCCTATTTTAATAACGAATGGATTAACAAACCATTGGTTACTAAGACTGGAAAGATTTTATAATGAATAGTTACAAAGTCTTTCTAGTCCACATCAAAAAGTCTGCACAGGTTGCTTCAGCTTTTAAGCTTTTAACTTTTCTTTAAGTGAATTAGGATTAATGTGGCTTCATTTTTTTTAAGACTTGCTTTGCTTGTTTGGGGAAATTCATCTGGTTGTTTGCTCATTTATTGATTTAAAATGTTTCATGAATTGCAGAGAAACAATTCTGAGGAACTGCCAGTTGTGTGGAAGTAGAATAGAAAAGCTTGGGTAGCAAAAGCCTTTTTTAATGACTGGTTTAAAAATTCATTCATTAAAGAAGTCAAACATTATTTAAAACAGCAAAACATGAGCCTTAGAATTCTCCTAATTCTCGATAATGCTCCTGGACACAGTGCTGAAATCCTCACTACATTGCATCCAAATGCAGAGGTTTTATTGTTTTCCACCAAACACCATTTCCTTAACACTTTGACTGCCATAGGAGTCAACAGTGGCTGGCACTCGACTTGGCTACTAGGTGTGATGTGACCAATAGTAAAAATACATAATTAGAGCAAATATCAGTACTGATAAATTTTTAAATAATACAGTTGTTATTGTAATGCTTTGAAGAATTCTAAATCACAAAAATTTAGATAAGAAATCACAAAAATGGCCTACAGTGCCTCAGGGGTCGTAGGTGACCCCTCTACCATGAAAAATGCATTAAACACAATTACATAACTCACCTTATCTTCTGTAGGTAAAATTTCAACATAATATATATTGTATAATAAAAAATTCATGTTGGCACTAAAGGCAAACCATGTGAAATGCACGCTGCAGTCAACGTCGCTTCAGCCAATGAATCAAGGAATCATAAAAACAAAGCCTATTATGTCTGGCATCTGGTTACATCTCTGGAAATAAGCACTAAATGAAGGAAAACACAACTTACTAAAAGCATTTTGGAAGCAAGTAATTCAACATAAGACTGCATGGGAATAAGTGAATTCATCAGTAATGAATATTTGTTGATATCAGCTCTGGCCAGAAGTCGTCAACAGTTTGAAAGGATTTTAATCAATTGAAAATGAAGTCAAGGAAATCATACATACAGTCAAAAGTCTTTAATCTGGACTTCGTCGATTCCGGATTATAGATCATCAGTTTAAATCTGGTAAGATGGCATGCAGAAATTGTAAAATTAAAAATATGAAACCGTAATTTATGAAATAAAGAGCAATTATGATCTAAAAGGTATCAAAATTTATGAAATAAAGAGCAATTATGATCTAAAGGGTATCAAAATTTATGAAATAAAGAGCAATTATGATCTAAAGGGTATCAAAATTTATGAAAAAAAAAAGGTTTATATTTATTTGTTTACTTTATTAAAACATTTCTTTCAACGTGCACATGCGTAAAGCATACATTACACATAGTCGAAATTAGAAAATTGCAACTAGAAAACTATTTGATGTGTATTCGTGATATTTATAATGATGAGGAATTCGATTTAAATCATATCAAAGACGGAGTACATCGAGATGAAATACTACATTTAGTAAGGAATTATAAGCCGAATAAAAAAACATCTGCCCTGAAGATAAGGATAATGCTGACAGATCAACTTCCAGTTCATTGCGCGCCGCAACGTCTCCCCCCCCCCCCCCCACCCCCCACAGAGCAGCCTGAAATTGATAAACGGATTTCGAAACGGTTAGAGGAACAAAGGATATGCCTTTATCCATTTTTTCCTGCAATTCCATTTTTTGTTTGATGGACATTGAAACATGCTTTCACTTTGTAGATCCTTTGGCAGCTTCAGAAACGGAAATTCTTTTTGACATAGTCGAAAGTTCAAGCTTACTTTTATAAAATTGCTGTAACAGTCTGCAAAAAATAATAAGTCGGATCCAGTTCAAAGGTTAAGGAACAACGCAATCTGCAACATTAACTAAAATAGATAATTAGATAATTTTAGCTTAGCTTATACCGTCCATTATACATTAAACGTGCATGCGTAAACGTATTATGCGCATGTGTAAACACATTATGCGTTTACGCATGCACAGAAAGTTTGTAGCTTTGAGGTCCGGATTAAAGACTTTTGACTGTATTGCAAAATTAATAGACTGCAAAGTATTTTCAAGAGTGAAAGAGGGATAAATCAAAGAATTAATCAAGAATGACTATCATGAAATGACAGATGAAGAATTGGATGATCTTATTTCTCTAACTGACTGTGAAAGCAGCAATAATGAAGATTAAAGAGCCTTTAATGTACAAGAGGTTAAAGAATTGCTTAAAAAGGCAATCGAACTGCTTTGTTTTGTAATGGACATTGACCCAAATAAAAAAAGAAGACATTTTATGATGGGCATTGAAAAACTGTGGATTCCATATTTCAAAACTTTTAGAGAGTTGCATCAGTCATTGTCCCAAGCAAAAAAATCACTTTTTTAAAAAATAATTTTATAATTATTAAACAGTAATAAAAATCCTTTCAACTGACATTTGTTTCATTTTGTCCCTTTAGTTACAATAATATTTAGGTTCATATAAATTATGCATACATTCTTAATATGATCATTACCTGTTTTTTTCCTTAGAAAGTGAACTGTGCAGAACATGATTTTGCCGAACACACAATGTGTTAATGATATAAACTCACATATTCATCTAGAGATTACTTGTATGTGACATATTATAAAGTTTATCACACGATAGTATGTACTTTAATTATTAATATTTTCGTATTTAAAAGTACAGTAGAAGTCCAGAAATATGCAAAGCTTGGGACCAGAGGTTGTGCGGATTTCAGGACAGAAAGGATAAATCATAATATTTAGACTAAAAGTGCAAAATAAATAAGGCATATTAGATACATTAAATTTTTATATGCATTATTGCAATAACTTATATGCATTAAATTATTATTACATGTGTAAATTGATTATATTATTCATTGTGTTATATGTACACAGCATCGAGGTTTGCCAATTCCGCGTCATGCAAAGATTTCCAGTGTTAGAATCACTGTTGCTGTAAAATTTCAACAGCTTTTCTTTATTTTTCCGTATATCATACACAATCGTGTCGCAGTTCCATACGATTCTGCTCTAAACCGAGGAGTAGCACCTGCCTCCATCTTTTGCAGAATTTGCACTTTTTGCATTACCGTAAATGCAATGTTTTTCAATGTTGTAAGTAGTAAAATCATGAGTGTGTTTCTTATCTGTCATTGTATTAAAAACGGCTGAAATTTAAAATATTCTTAATTCTTCTTAATATCCACAATATATCCAGATTAAAAAAAAAAAGGCAGCACTAAATAATCTTGTGAAATAACAAAGCTCAGAAAATACAACAACGTGAATCGTGAACTTGAAAGAAGAGTTGAGTGAATCGTCTGCTTTTTTACCATGATGCAGATTAGAGGGTAAAAAACTTTTATCATGATGTCAATAATTTGGCATTTCCATTATGACTCATTATTATTCGGTAATTATGATGTCATTATTCGGTAAGTATTTTTTCTTTGATATTTTCACAATCAATGCTACGGTTTCCGCAACCTAAAAACAGATTTTTTTTTTTTTTTTTTTTTTGAGAGGAAACGCAAATTTCAGATCGGTGGATTTTTGGTATTTGATTGTATATGCAATTATGACTGGCATCCCATTTGTCCGAAAGGTACCAATTAATGTTAGGAAAAGAGAGATGAGATTTTTGAATTCCATCTCCTGGAATGTTTTTGATCAAATTGCATTAATGCTGGGAAAGTTGTGACCACAATTCCTGAAGGTCTGCAACTAACAAGTGCATCTGTCTGTATTTCTATATCTATGAGTGTGAGGCATTTCTACATAGCCTGGAACCAAGATGTGGCTGCAAGTTCTGGGAACATGAGATAAGCAGTAATAATATTACTGTTGAAGTACCTGGGCATTACCTACACTTTCTAAAAATAAAGAAATGATGATTTTTTAATTCTTTGCCATTTTTTATTGTCATGCCTATTTAATTTCATTTTTAAACTTTTAAGTGCAGAAATATATGTAAACTTACATTGTTTCTTTTAGGATTCCTGGTTCAAACGTGAATTTAGTAGTACATTTTCGTATACATTGATTAAGGGTTTTCCATATTCTGTATCAACAAAAAGTAAAAAATCTGAGGTAATACATGTGCAGTCTTATTTATATATACTTGACTTTTATATTATTAGAATGTGTTTGAGTTTTATTTATTGAAAGAATACTGAAGTACAACTGAATAAATACTATAAATAATAGAGTATTTATTTATTTATTTTTAACGGAGGTGTAAAATGAAATATGTGTATGCAATTAAGCACTATTTATACGTTTCTAATTTATATATTTATGCATTATTTCATCTGTGTTTCAGTTCATTGATGTTAATGTTAAAGGTAACATATTTTGTTTATATGATGATTAGCTACAGTTGTACATAATTTTATTCCTGTTTTATTTATCACTGTTCTTTTACAATTAAACTATTTCTCTAAAATCATGTCTAACAGAGGATATTTCAGAATTATAAAACTGAAATCTCATTGATGGATAGATTGGGATCACTTTGAGAGGTAGAATAAATAAGGGAGCCTGCCAACCAAACAGATCTGCTGATGTGAGACATTTCAACAGTTGATTGCTTTTGTTTTTTGCAGTCTTCTGTAGTCCTTACATTCTTTACAATATTTGGAAAATGAGAAGAAAAAGATGAAACCAAAATTAGGGGGAAATAAATAAAAGAATATGAAATTGGAAAAAGTAGAACTAAAAAAATTGGGTTATTTCCTTTTCAATAGTGAAAGCAGTTTCTGATGGGAGAACAACAGAAGAATGAGCAGCAGCTTCTAGAAAATCCACTTAAAAAAAAAAAAATGTGTGTCCTACATACAAATATTTCCCAAAATTCAGTACCTTTTAATAAAGATTTTAATTCATTATCATGTATTAAATATTCCATTAAATTAGTGTAAGAGAACAGATAAAATAGCATTGCATGTGAAGGATGATTTTGAATTGGATGGTTGTGTAAATTTAAATTTTGCCTCTGAATTTCATGTCATTGCTAAGAACGGTATCAAACAATTTCTAGATAATTTGTTGATCAATATTAACTGAAAGATATCTAGTGCTGATGAAGCCCTTTGACCTCTTGTCTGCAAAGGACTCTTTTTAAAGGCAATCGGTGGAATGGAATCTCTCGTTATTTTATTGTGTTCAAATGTTGATAGAACAGAAAAGATAATATTTCTAATTAAAATCTATGTAGGAGGTTAATATGAAAGTCAATATTTTTTTTTTTTAATTTTAAAGCTGCCATTATGGTATAAAAAAATAAAAATATTTAGGTTATTGTAAACTGCCACTTTACAGACTGCTCAAAAAATGATTAAGATGATGAGATGCTAGAAATGCAAAATTTTGCTTTTCATGGATCAATGTATGCACATATTCGCATCCAAATAACTTTTTAAAAAATGTAAAACTCATTTCGTTTTCCATCATTATGTATGAAAACACTAGAACTTTTAGACCTTAATCAAGAATTTCAAAGTATTCATTAGCTCAAGATTGATTCAAATCACTCAATAGACTATTATTGCTAGCAATATCCTCCAAAAAAAAAAAAAAAGAGAAACATAGTTGAAGCTATAAATATGTTCCTTTTTGACTTAAATCAAGTAAAGTCTCCTTCCCCCAATCAAAAAAAAGTTTTAATTGTTTCATCCAAAGAGGTTATTTAAATTCAGAATCAAGTGAAAGCATTGACAACAAAAACACGGATGGAACTGTGATTATACATAGAGAGAACTGAAATCTAAACCTCCCATTACTGTCAAAGAAAACATAAACCACAGCTGGCAGTTCTCCAGAATTTTTAGCATCTTATTTTGCCGTTACTAACATGCTTTGTCTTTTTGCCCATGAGACTGCAGCTGTTACATGAAGCTGAGAATAAGTAAGAATAGTGCCACAGTTAACCTCCAAACAGAATTTTTTGAGTTCCAAGTTGAAGATCTCTCTTTCATGAAACATTTCAAGAAAAATGTATCGATAAGGAATGGATTGTGATGTCAACTCTAAAATGGTGCACCAAGAAAAAATATCAAAGACTTCTTTCTTAAACTGCAGTATGCAATGTTTTAATATAAATGGATATTCAGGTAAATGAAAGTAAACAAGAATAGAATTTAGGTAATCTTTTTCGAATGCATCTCTAGAAAAAAGGTTAATCACTAAGTGCCCCCCCCCCAAAAAAGAAAAGAAATTGCTGTGAAGAAAACTATATTGACCACATTCTTAAAAAATATATATATTTGACAGCAACATTGCAATGCCTTACTAAAATTAAAAATGAGCAAATTATATTACCCTTTTCCTAATGATTTTCATTATAATTTTTCTTATTAATTTATAATGAACTGTTTTAATCTGTAGACATTTGTAGAACTTTTTTGAAGCTTTAACTAGTGTTTAATCACTTACTGTATCTATTTAATTTTGTTTTACTTCCAGTTAATGTAACATTGCTAAGTTTATTCACACAGTTGTATGTAGTTCGTTATTCATTTTATTTTCATCATGTTTAAAAATACTTTGATAAGTAAAACCTGTTCAGCCCTACTCAGGATTTTGTCAGTATAAAAGTTCAAGAAATTGTAAAATAAAATGAAATTAGTGAAAAAATGTAAAATTTAGACTTCTACATCAGATTCGCATTAGAAATAATTCAGTAACCTGAATTATGTATTATACAATGAATTTAAGTCAGTTTTGAGCTCTCTTACTGACGTCACTGCATAGCATGTCACAAAAGTCTCCTCGGTTTTTCTAATTTCAAATTTGGCAGCTGTGCATAAACTGCCATAAATGTATTGCCATCAAAGCTGTGCCCAGTTGAAGAAAACGATTAAAAATAGATTTCCAGAAGATTATTTATACAATGGGAGTGAAGAAGAAAATGAGGCATTAATATACTTTCTCTTTTAGACATAGTGCATTGAGCTGACATGCTCAGAAATTTGCTTGTCATGATACTGATGAGAAAATGTTTCATAAATTTGATTCTAAATTTAAAAAAAAAACTAAAATACAAATGTAGACTATAAATAACTACATTTAGTGTACAAAACACAAATTCAATGTAGGTTTTGTATTCTTTTATTCCTTAAATATTCAAATTGAACAACAGGTTTGACAGTATAAATTTTACTGTTTTGAGTATTTTAAATAATTGCAGTAAACACAACCTCGGACACTTATATTGACCAATTTTTCCTTATGTTTCTTTTCAGTTATTCAAACTGAATAACAGAGGCTTGATACTTAATTACCTTGACTACAAGCTAAGATGAATGGTTAATAATAATTTTCAAATATTAAAATGATTATGAAGTAATTGCAGTAGTTTGCTTTTATGTCAACATTACGTATGATGTTTTGTAAGATGAGATTGGTTGTAATATCTTTTTAAAGTTCATGCATTTGTAATATTGCACATTTGTAGAGTCTCCTAGCATCCCTTGCCCGCAAAAACAATTTTGAATATTGTTTGGTTGTAATACCTTTTTAAAGTTCATGCATTTGTAATATTGCTTATTTGTAGAGTCTCCTAGCATCCCTTGCACACAAAAACCATTTTGAATATTGTTGGCAGTGTGCACATTTCATGTCATGTTTAAGAAGATGGAGGAAATTACATCCTATGAAATAAGTATGTCTGTTATTAGTGTTATGGTTGTAGGAAATGTAAAACCAGCAAAGACTCACCACTAAATATGTGAATGCTGTATTGGGATGGCAAAATTCACAAGTGGTTGAGAAATGTGTTAGACTACATACAGAAAAAGTACATATTGGACCAGCCATTTACAATCACCATGATCTCATGCATACAGTAGACACCATGATTCATGAAAACAGGCAAATTACTACTTCCGTATACCTGCGAATTTTTAGTACTTTCTGATTATCTGCCCCCCCCCCCAAAGTCACTAGTTCATTGGAGACTTTGTAAACTGGTAAAATGCTTGTTTGGCCACTTTATGGCTAATGGCTATTGTTGATAAATAATTATAATAAGAAATATTTTATATGAATTAGAGAATACCGAGTTTTCAACTATAACTGATCAATTCCCTACAACAGTGTTCTCAAACTCAGACTGCATGAGGGCTGAATGCACAATATGAAGGCACATGATGGGCTGATTTTTTTTTTTTTTTTTTAATTTTTTTTAGCCAAAATGAAAACATTTATGTAGCAAAATAAATTTCTTTAATTAAATATCTAAATTTTATTTACAAATATTTACCAAAAGTATATGAACAGTAATGATAATGATGCAAAGGGAAAAAACTACAATTTATATTTATTTTCTCTCTGAAATGTAAAGGCTGGTATCTGCAAAAAATTTCTTATTAGCTACATTTTGTAATTCAAGCCTACTGATAGCTAAATATTGAATTTTCAAAATGGCATTTATTTTAAATAATTTTAGTTTGTTGAAAAAAAAAAAAAAAAAAAAAAAGCCTTCCAAATGGAGAAAAATTGGAAATAAATAATAACAACCTATTATCTTTCTTTTATGTATTAAATTTTTCTGTGGCATATGCAGAAAAATTGCACAATCTATGTAAATAATACAAATCTGTATGTAAATAATTATTATTTGTTATTTCTTACTACAACACCTTATGGTAATTCTGTATTGATGAAGTTTTGAACCTTGGGTAAAAGTTAATAATAACTGTAGTATTCCTTCGTCAGTCTGGATCTCTGTTTTAGAAATTATGAGGGGGGGAACCCATCGCATGTAAATAAATGTATACACAAACAAAGTGATTATTCATATTGCTTAAATTAATAATTAAGGGTATTTCTCTTTTGACAAGTAATTAATCAAATCTCTATCTTCAAGTACTCTGAATATGATTTATAATTTATAAAAAAATAAGATTTATTTTATTTATGACAAGTAATTAATCATATCTTTATCTTCAAGTACTCTGAATAAAATTTATATTAGAATGTAAATTAATTAGCTCCATTTGTAGATTTTCTGGGGCATTACTCTTATTCTTTTTTAATGATGATAAAACTCCTTCAGAGGAGTGAGAGTTTGAGATTGCTGCTTTACAACATTGTGACAGAAAAACTGGTGTTACACGAAGTTCTCAGTGGGTTCTGAGGAAGTTTACCAAGGAATGCAAAACAAAGAGATTAGTATTGGCAACAGGATTTTTTAACCTATTACCCATAAGAAAGGTAGTGATTTATTAATTTGCATCATCATAGAAGACAAGATATAAGTGTCCCATGCAGTAGTTCCTGGAGTGGTGACATTCATCTACATTGAAAGTGAAATTCAAATAATCTTATCTTGCAAGAATATCATAACTATTCTTTAAGACATATGCATTGTTTTGTAAGTGAACTAGCAATGCTGCTGCATATTGTTAGGCATCAAGGAAACTTTACTGCATAATCCAGAGAGAATGCTGTTATACACTGTGGTATATAATATTCAAGTTCTGAAACTAAACATATGCTAAATCTTTAAATATGTTTTTTTCAAACGCAAGTTTTACAGATTTATGATTTTGGTATGGTGGTGACAAAATCTAAGTTTCAGCTTTAAAAATGTAATATCTTTGTTACCTTCTAGTTATTTGATTTACTACTTTATTTTTCTTTAATATTTTCCGCTTTAAAATTCTAGTATAAATCCATGGTCACAAGCTTTGTAAAATTACTAATGTCAATCAGGCTATCAAAATTTCACTATATCTCCCATGAATTTTACCTCCCCACACAATAAAATTACTGCTTTAGTCATAGTGCATACTCTGGGAATTGATATTTTAAAGATTTCTTTTTACATTTATTAAATGCTTTAGTAATTTAATTTTGATTCGAAATAAGTGTGTTATTATTGTAAAATAATAGGAGTTTTATACCTTCAGCTTCCATGCCTAAAAACTAATCTGGCAATTATCTATCTGTATACTGGATTTGTGTTGGAATCTCGCTATGCTTCAGAGAAAAACTGGAAAAATATGCTGATATATTTAAAAGAGGTGTTCAATTTAGAATATGAATCACGTTTAAATTGTATTCCTATGCTTCTGAAAATTGCAGATAACTATCTTCAACTCTCTAAAACAAATATTGGTAAGTAAAGTTCATATTTTTTTTTTTTTTTTTTTTTTTTTCAAATTTTATATCTGATATGTCCTGTGTGTCTTGAATAATTGGGCAGATGGGAAAGAAGACTTAATTTTCATTATAGCTCCAAAATTATAATACGGTACAAAGTCCGTAATCCGGACTCGTCGGGACTTCGGCGATTCCGGATTAGGGTTTTTCCTGATTATAGATCATCAAGTTAAATCTTGTAAGATGGCTCGCAGAAATTATTCAATTAAAAATTTGAAACCGTAATTTACGAAATAAAGAGCAAAAGGGGTATCATTTACAAAAAAAAAAAAAAAAAAAAAAAAAAGCTTAATATTTATTTGTTTATTTTATTAAACATTTCTTTCAATGTAAGTTGTTTAAGTTGCTTCGTTTTTTTGTGCTAATACTTTCTCTCTATTTCTATAAACAGACATAATTTCTTGTTCAGTTACAAAGTTCCACCTTTCGGAAGCGGTATTTTATGGATTCAGAGCCATGCTACAGATTTCGCCGTCCCTTGATTGATGTTTGGGGCATTGTCGTCACAATGAAAAACTTCTGTTATATCATCTTCATTTATTACCCCTTCTCCACATTATTTGACTTAAAAACTCATTTATGGATCCACTCAGAACACTTTCACCAGATACTGACATACTGCAGAGCTCTAAACTTAAGATTTTTCATGCTCATTATTTTATGCTTTTACTTGGAAGACAGAACGGAAAGAAATCTGGGTTTTGCTTTTGAATGTTTCCATAATCCAAACCAAGTTTCTCTTGAAGTACCATAGTTACTCCCATATTTTCCTCTCTTTTCGTACTAATTGTACCACTTGAAAGCTGTGAGCAGTGTATGCTATTTTTGAAGGGACTACTTAATTGATAAACATAACTCATTGAAAAGGACATATAAAGACACACTTATGTTATTATTCTTTGTATTTCAATAATATTCTTTTTATTTACACAAAACTGCACTGTGTGCAATATATGCACAGTACTTGGGCATACATTTTAAGTGTCCCATGCAGTAGTTCCTGGAGTGGTGACATTCATCTCCATTGAAAGTGAAATTCAAATAATCTTATCTTGCAAGAATATCATAACTATTCTTTAAGACATATGCATTGTTTTGTAAGTGAACTAGCAATGCTGCTGCATATTGTTAGGCATCGAGGAAACTTTACTGCATAATAATTTGGTTTAAATCAAAAGTTTCTAAATCGTATGCTGCAAAAAATTAGAGGGAAAAGTGCATGAGGGGGAAGAAATGTGCAAGTAAATATGGTATTTGAAAGGCTGTAAATTTGTCAGATGTCACCCCAAATTGTAATAGATATCAATAGGCAATGCCTAAAGTTTAATTGAAGCTACTGTAAAATTCTAATTTAATACAATATTTTCTACTCAGTAATTCACACACTATAAGTATAAAATAATTATGTGGATGAATATACAATGGTTTCATGAAATTAAAATTAAAGCAAATCATTATCTACAATATATATATATAAATCTCTGTACTAATTTGCTGCACATTCAGTTGTTCATTTTTATATAAAAATATGTATATATATATATATATATATATATATATATTATAATATATATAAGCTTAATGTTATGCAGGATGTCTTTTAAATGCTGCTTATAAATTGATCACATTTTTCTATAAGCTGAAATGTCACAATTTCTGCATTTAAAAAAAAATTATTATGTCTGAAGTAATGTGCTTGTAATTAAAGTAAATAATTACTTCACTGGTATATTTATGTCCTATGAGTATCAGACGTAAATAACAGCTTTCATTTTGCATTCATTTTATTAGAGTTTTTTCAATTCATGGGGTGATTGAAAAATTTAAGTAATATTTAATTTTTCTGGTAATTTTGATAATAATATTCTTCTTTCCAAACATTTAATGATTAAATTCATTACTTGTTCTGTCAAACCAGATTTTTTATTGTTCTTTTCTAAATATTTTCATAGGCTCAATATATTTATATATACATACTGATATATAATGTGTTTTATAATAAGTCTTTGAAGAATATCTATGTATGAAGCCTACGAAGAAACAAAATGTTCATTATCAGTTGGGAGTTGATGGCTTTGATGCTGCCAAATTAAAATTAAAATATTTTTATTTTTGGTGTATATATTTCATTTCTGTTTTTAGGATGAGGTGGATTATGTAAATATCCAGTGAGGTAAAAATAAAACAATAATTTATACAGTTGCAGATAAATCAGTATACAATGACTGCGCTGACTTTTATGTATGGTGTATGTTTTTAAATTCGAACTGAAAATGGCAGTAATAACATATAAATTAAGAATAAGATGATTTATGATAAAAATAGAGAAACTTGTTTAAAATTTTTAAAAAATGAGAAAAGCTAGTGATGAACCGAAATTTGAGAAAGGATTGGAGTAGAAAAGGTTCCGAGTTAGGTCTGAATTCACATCGTCTCTCTCGTAGTCCAGTGCACTAGCCATTCAGCTAGCTGTGATGATGCTCATGAGTAAAAATATTGGAACAAGTAGAGATCATTGTAGTCAGATTTGATCTAATATTTAGTAAGCATGAGTTGTATGGCCGAGCTTGTAACTGTCCTTGAAAATTTCATAGTTGTACTTACAGAATAAATAGTTTTTACGGTCAATTACTTTATTGTAGAAATTATTTTGTTATTGTGATATTTATAGAACTTCTTGTTTTGCAAGAAGGAGGGAGCATTTGTAATAATTGAGGCAGAGTAAAATTTTGTATGCCAGAGCATTTGATTTCGTAGAAATCAGTTATTTAGGTTTCTGTTGCTTACAATGTTCCATACAGTTGAAGCATATGAATATTTTGGTCAGATGATTTTTATATAAACATGCAGTTTTTCTTAAAATAAAATTTAAATGTTAAAACTGTGCTGAAAATGTTTTTTATGCAGCAGTTATGATCTCTTTAAATAAAAACTCATTGCTGTGTGTTTTCCTAGTGACAGCAATCCTAGTCTCCGTGTACTCTCCGCCAAAGGCAGATATCGAAAACAGTATCTTGCAAATGCAACAACTGATGCGAGAGCAAAAAATAGACAACGTGTTGATTGCGGGAGACTTTAACTGTCATAGTACAACATGGGGATATGCTACCACAGAGCCAAAGGGACGTACCCTGGAGGATTTTATTTCAAGCAACAACCTGATCTTGCATAACCAGCAAGATGCGACCACCGACTTTGATCTTGCATAACCACCGACTTTTGATCGCGTCCACTCAAGAGGGTGGCCGGACCTTACAGTCTCGACCCTTCAAATGGCACAACTAGTACAAGATTGGATGGTCGTGGAAGGCGTAAGCCTTTCCGACCACAATTACATACGATTCACCATTGCCAGAGCCACAGAAACAACTATCATCAGAAGGTACAACCTACCAGGTCGCAAGGTCAGGTCATTCGTTACAGCTATCAAATCACGCCTGGCATCCTTTAGCAATCGAATTGAGCAAGCAACCACTAGAGAGGAACTACATGTACTCACGAGTAAACTGATGTCAACCATTAGGACGACTTGTGACGACATCCTACCAGTACGAACAATACGACGGGTCACCACATTAAACTGGTGGAATAGCCAATTACGCGCGCAACAGCAAAAGTGTCGTGCCTTAAGACGACGGCTAAAAAGTGAGCGACGACTGAGCATCACCTCTAACACACTCACTATATATCAGAAGGAAAGGGCCCAATACAAAAAAATGATCATTACCGCCAAACTGGACAGCTGGAGAAAGTTCTGTACAGAAACTACAAATACCTACGGCATACATCACAAGATAGTGGCGGGAAAGCTGTTCAAACAGGCCTCCTTTCATCTCCTGCCAATACCTAACACCAATGAACACCTTACTGAAGCTACATTTACAGAAGTGCTCAACACGGTCTTTACGAAGGACGATCCTACAGATGACACAACGACACAAGCAACCATGCGTAACCAAACCCTGGCTACAGATGCCATGAACGATGCTCTTTTCACAAATCAAGAAATCCTACATGTCCTGCGACAGCTACCGCAAAAGAAAGCACCGGGGCCAGACGGAATAAACTATCGAATAGTTAAGATCGCAATACGGTCGCACGTCAACCTCTTCCGTGCGAGCACGTCAACCTCTTCCGTACCCTTTTCAGCAAACTTCTTTCCACTGGCACATTCCCCAGGTGCCTCAAAATTGGTCAAGTTATTCTTTTCCTCAAAAAGAATAAAGACCCAAAAAGAGCAGGACTCCTATCGTCCAATATGCCTACTATCAGCTGCTTGGTAAGACATTTGAAAAGTTACTCATGAACAGACTGCGACACCACCTGCATACTACCAAATACTTAAGCGGAAACCAATACGGATTTAGAGCAGGAAGATCAACAATCCACGCACTCATGGAAGTCAAGGAGAGCATTTTAGAGAACAAATTTACCGGCCACCACACAGCATTCATATCATTAGATCTAAAGAGTGCCTTTGACACTCTGTGGTGGCCGGCCATACAACATGCCCTGAGAGAGGCAAAATGTCCACGGAATATTTACCACACCCTGGAGAGTTACCTTTCAGAGCGAAAATTGATTCTACCGCATAACAGCGGTGTCATCCAGCAAGACCAAACCCAAGGATGTCCGCAGGTTCCTGCGCAGGGCCGTTTCTATGGAACGTAACGTACAACATCATACTCACACAGCCGTGGCCGGAACACACAAAAATAATTGCATACGCGGACGATACAGCTCTAATTGTGAAAGGAAACACCAGGGAACAGCTGCAAGCAAATTCCCAGGAATCCTGCAACCTCTTCCAGGAGCGATGCACAGCAATAAAACTCCAAATAGCTGAAACAAAATCTCAAATACTGCTGATTCCTAAAAAAGGGGGCACACTCGCACGCCAACCAAGAATAACGCTCAACGGCCAAAGACTTCCGCATTAAGCGAGAACTAAAGTACCTGGGCATAACTTTTTGATGATAAACTAAATTGGATCCCTCACGTGCTGGAGCTTAGGAAACGAACAGCACAGATTGCCCTCAAGCTCAAGTTGATGAATGGTTACAGATGGGGACTTAACCCCCATTTACTCAAGACCCTGTATATGATGACAGTCACTGAGAAAATAGTAACATATGGAGCTGCAATATGGGCCTCTCCGATGCAAGGACGCAAAATAAAATATCTACAGAGTATACAAAGGCCGTTCCTGCTCAACATTACTAAAGCTTTTAGAACATCTCCAACGAATGCACTCAATGTCCTGGCCAGATTGCCCCCTCTTTACATAAATGTGGAAAAAGAGGCAGCCTACCAATTGGTGAAGCAGCTTAGCCGCCCTGCGGTGTTTGGTGACCATACTTTTACGGCAGATAACCTAGAACAGGAGTCCAATCGCCTCCACACACACCCGTCGATGCAAGGCCAAGGCGTGCACATTAATATTAAGCAAAACACAAAAGCTACGGACAATGATATCGTATTCTACACAGATGGCTCAAAAACTGACGAGAATGTTGGCTGTGCATACATCGCATTTCGGCAACAGCAACCAATACGCCAATGGAAAGGACACTTGGAATCCAGAAACAGTGTTTTTCAAAGCGAAGCCGCAGCCATTTATCACGCAATAAACACTATTACCCAATATCGACATCAAAACAGTTTTATAATAACAGACAGTCTGTCAGCATTATATGCTATATTAAATCCTATGCACGGCTCCCCCATAATTGCAGCAATTCAAGAACAACTCTCTTTTCACAAGACCTTAAAAATCAACCTAGAATGGACAAAAGCGCATATTGGCAACCTTGGGAATGAGGCCGCAGATCGGCTCGCAAAAGAAGCAGCCCAAAATAATGATGCAGAGACACTGCAAATTCCATGGCCCACCTCATATCTAAAAAAGAGCTTGAAACAGGTCGCTTTCACACTGTGGCAAGAGGCATGGAACAACGATGAGACAGGACATCGTGCGTATGCGTATCTGCCAAAGGTTGATCCAGAACGTCTTATAGTAAATCCATAACTGGTCTACTATATTACCGGGCATGGCCCGTTCCCAGTCTACTTTGAAAGATTCGGCAAGACGACTACCTCCTTATGTTGCTGCGGTGAACTGGGAACGCCAGAACACTATGTCGAAAAATGCTCACTAACGGAGGATCTACACATCCCGTTCCCAGAGACAAACAGATTAGCCTTCAGCAGGTTCATAATTAAGCAGCGACATCTCAAACGCAGCATTACAAAAATTGTTGACAAGCTTATGGGCTTAGGAACAAACCTATGCCAAGTGTAAACCATTTAAGAGTACTTAGTGCATCATGCAACATTCCCATACCAGCTAAAGGGAGCTCACTGGCAGCATTATATAATTGTAACTGCACATATGAATAGCTCTAACTTATTATGTATGCAGCAGTAGTATACAAGTACTTTGTCTTCATAAAACGCAGTAATGGCAGCATCTGTAATCACAGTCAGCAGCATCATATGTACACATGAAATACCAAATGTATGCTTTATGTACTCCTATATTCTGCCACCAATGCACTGTTATCTTCGTATTTTTGTAACGCCAGTCTGCAATTTCACTATACGTATTAAATTTGCAATGCGTATTTTCCCCCGGTATTTAATTCAGTAATCATGTATATAACTCACTATCTCGTATCAGTATAATCTCACCCTCTCTATGTTTCAATATCACCGCACTATGCATCTCAAGTCTGTAATTTATATACGCCATTATTACACACTCCTATATCCTGTCACCAAGTGAACTGTTTTGTTTATGTATTCTTGTAGCGTCTGTCTGCATATCTTGCTACGTATTTAACATTATAATACGTATTTCTCTCCCATATTTAATTCAGTAATCCTGTATATAATTTATTATCTTATATCAGCATAATGTCACCCTTTCTATGTATCAATTACCTTACTATGTATTTCAAATTTGTAATTCATAAATCCTCCTTGTATAACTCAGTAATCCGGTATCTAATTTAGCATCTTGCATCAGTATAAACTCACAAGGTACTTCATGTCACATTTTATTCAGTAACAGCATGTTTCATGTTTCAGTATGTTCAGTTTCCCATGTTTCTCTGTCTTTCAAATATCAGTATAACATAAGTATTGGTATCAGTATCTTATTTCAGTATATCCTCATTATGTTACCCTCGTGTTTCAGAATGCTCAGATACAATGTGCTTTACTATGTACCTCAAGCAGCAGTATAACCTTTCTATACAATTCAATATTGACATATGTATATCTCTCCTGGATATAATTAAGTATTCCGTATATAACTCAGTACTTTGTAGCAGTACATTATGTATTTCACGTATTAGAATGTACAATTATAGTATGTTATATGTTTCAGTATGTTCAGCATTTCCTGTTCCAACATGTTTTTCAAGTCTCAGTACAATCTCACTATGCCTTCTATGTTTGTTATACAAATATCTCTCTTGTATATAATGCAGCAATCCTGTATATAATTCAGTATCTTATATCAGTATAATCTTACCATGCATTTCACGTTCCGGTATGCTCTGTTATAGTATGTTTTCTGTCTCAGTACGTACAGTATTTCATGTTTCATCAGGTATCTCGTGTAATTAGCGTAATCAGTAATATCTCACTATATATTCATGTTTCAATATGCTCAGTCATAGTATGCTCATGTTCAGTATGTACAGTATTTAATGTTTCAACCATGTATTTCAAGTCTCAGAAGTATCTGTATAACCTCATCATGTATAATCATATCTTAGTATGTTCAGATACAGTAAGTGTCATAATTCAATATGTATAATACTTCCTGTTTCAATATGTATTTTGAGCATTAGCATAATCTTACTATGCATTACATGATTCTATACCATATTGTACTCTCCAATATATAATTTTAGTAATCTGGTATATAATTCAGCAACTTGTGCATACTAATTGTCTGATAATTCAGCCTGCAGCAGCAGTGATGACCCTTGTTTAGCCATGTCATTTTCTACAATATTTGTAAAATAATTTCCCAATGGCTGCAAGGGTATAGCTGATGCAATGTGGCCTGCATCAGACGCTGGGTTTCAGTGGTCGGTGCGAGGCGTTTTTGTGGACTCAGTGACCTTGGCACGTTTCACTAGACACAGGTGGACATGGCGCTATACCAATTAACCCTAATGGTAGAGGGATGGTGCCCACGTCCTCCGTCGCATGTCGCATGTATAAGTTTGTTGTATTTTTTTTTTCCACATTTTGCTGTGCACACTACATCAGAATGAAAGTATGTAATTTTAAAATGTATAACTGTACCTTTTTAAAACCTATTTTTTTATGCTACTAAGCTATGTTGTAGCATTGTGTGAAATTTAAAATAAAACTGCAGTGTACAAGTTTCCATTCACTATTTATGAAGTTCTTGCTTAAAATTTGTCTGCTCACATTTCTGTAACTTAAATTTGAGGGAGGAATATTTTTTCTGACAGATTTCACTGTGGGGGATATCAAAGCCTTACTGAAAATTGTCCATATCTTGAAAGTGTACATGTGAAGAAGTTACCATGTAAGAACAAGTAATGATCCTTTAGAGCCTATTAAATTATTTCTTCATAATAACAACACATATATCCCTACATATAATTATTTTATAGCTATAGGTGAACTGAATATTGAAATACAGAATTTGATATAAATATTAACCTTTTCTTGATGAGCAGAAATTTTTACTATTCAAAATGTTTGCTTCTCCATTCAGTTCCAACTTAATGAAACTGAAATATATTTATTTGTATATATGCAGCCAGGATAAAACATTTCTATCCATTTAGGATTTCAGATTCTATTTTCTTTAAATTAGGTTATTGTAAAATAATTCGTTTGTGAGATTTATTATTTGAAATGTACCAAATGCATTACGAGTGCTGTAGGTTTTCAACTATATGTTAAACTAATAAAGTAAACAGTGCCTAAACTGGTTCATTTTGCTTAGTAAGTTGGTTGTTGTACAATTTACTGTTGGTACTGTTTATGTAACTGATGTCCTTTTATAACTGACAATTTATGATTACTAAATGCATTAAGTATATTCCTCTATATATAATACATATAGAGGCAAATATGATTAATTAATATTTTTTATATGATCTTTTTTTTCTGCCCTGTACTGTATTAGAATACTTTTATTTTCTCTAGAAACAGTTGATGCACTTGTGACTGGCGTATGTTCAATAGCAAAAGTGCATTATTTGTCTCCAAATCGAAATTTACTGTTTTCTTTCTTCAGGAAATTACTATTAAACCCAGAATACAGAAATATTCAAAAGTATGTATTTAAATAATTTGTTACACAATGTTTATATTCATGTAATACAGTAGAATTTCAATTATCTGCACATATTATGACTAAAAGTTGCGTCAATTAGAGAATTTTGAAAATTTTAGGTTATATTTTTCTGAGTTTTTTTTTTTTTTTTTAATTTCCATTCCTTATTTTTACTTTAAATTTAAATTATGATTATTTAGATGCAAATAATGCCTAATATCCTGTGGTGCAAAATTAACAAAAGCTGATTTTGCAGCCTAACATCTAGCTATAGAGTTATCTAATTTGTTTGATAAGTTATTGCTGCTTCCACTTTATAACCATTAACACAACACACAACTCCAATTTAAAATCAAACAGATATTTATTAGCCACTTTTGGTGATTTTGCAACTTAAAATGATACTGAAAACTAACACAAAAGCTTCTCACTATACAAAATCTCAAAATGTGGTGACTTACTGTGGTAGATAAGTTCCATTTGATTTTCACAAGAGTATTGTACTTTCAAGACTACAACCATTGGTTTGGTTATAGTAACTAACTGCTAATATCTGTTCAAAATGAGGACCAGATAAAAGATCACAGGATAAATGCCCACAGAAGAAACTATACATTCGTGATTGCCCACACAATAAATACATTCACAGATAAACCGCTGATAAATGCCCACAGTGATGAAAGCCCATACAGATACATATGTTATGCACAAGAAAATTATTTTTCCATTATTTTCACTTTATGCAAAGCAGACTCTTCTTTCAAAATATTCTTGCATTTCATGTGTTTCAAAATAGAAATAAGCTTTTAAAATTATGCATTTTATTTCAGTTTCTATAAGCTTTATATATTCATATTGCAGCAGTTTGTGCAACATGAATAATTTTTAATTAAATATTTATTCATGTATAGAGAATAATTATTATTATACTGAAACTATTATACTTATTAAATGCTGAAACAGCTCCAGAAAATTGTATGTGCATTGAATTTAATATTCAGAAGGAAAAATTAAAACTGTGTTTAGAGAATATTCTGCTATGTTTAAAAAAATATTTTATAATAGTGAATTAAGAGTTAATAATTTAAGTAATTAAAGGTTAATAATTAAGTTAATTTTTAAGTATTGTGCTTTTACATAATTTAAATTTATTACAAATAATACATTTGATCTCTATAATGATTATTTGTAAAATTTGCAGAAGTCCTGTTTTGTGAGCACTTGTCAACGAGTTTTATTTTTGTGTTTTTGTCATGTAGTTTTGTACGTGGCTTCTGACTATTCATTGTTCATTCTGTTAATAGTCAATGAATGATTTGCGGTTTATCCTTTCTTCTCATTGAATGGAAGAAGTAAAGAAAGAAAGGTCTTGTTTAATTTCTTTATTCTCTCTGGAAACTAATGGGTAGAAAATGGGATTGTATTGCAGTATGGCATGGGCAAAGCTGCTGCATTGTAAATCGAGGGTTGCCAAAGTAATGAGTTCCTATTCTTAGATAGGAGGAGTCGGTTAGAGAGAAGAGTAGTTAGGACGTAGTGAGAAATAAATTGTTCTTAAAAGGATTTTAGAAATTTTAATATTTAAAACAAAATGACATCTAAAATTTCACCCGTAACTATATTTAAAAAACCTGTTTCACACTTTAAATATATTTTTTAAATTATACTATATAAAGAATTAGCAACTTTCTATCAAAGTTAATAAAACTTTTTCAAGTCCATATGAACTTAGCCAAGGAGTGCCTCAGGGATCAGTCCTTTGTCCTACACTTTACATTATGTACTTGGATGGTGTAGAGAGGGTGCCCTTTTTTTAAATAAGAATTAGTATGTTTGCAGATGGCATTGTTCTCTGATGTTTTGGCACTGATATTGATGAATTTGAATCAAGACTTAATGACTATCTGGTGGATTTGTCAAACTTTGTAAAAATGTAAAAACTGTTTTAATTCAACTAAATCAATGGGACTTCCTTCGTCACTACCAATAAGCACCTATACAGATATCAGCCAAAGTTGAAGCTTAGATGATCAGAAGCTTATTTATGAGAATCACCCCAAGTATCTGGGGTTTATATTGGACCTTTAATTTACAAGTCACAAATATATTGAGCATATTCTTTTGAAAAGTAGAAAGCACCTGAACATTCTTAAATTCATCCCTTGTAGGGACTAGGGAGCTGATGTTAGTACTCTTAAAAACCGTATATTGGCATTCATCCAGCTCATTCTTGAGTTTGGATTTCCAATTGATACTATGCTTTTTATACCAACCTGAAGAAATCAGAATAAGTTCAATAATGTGCTGCCCATATCAGTACTGATAATAACTGTCTTTCAGAAATTGCCCTTTTTGAGGCCAACCTGCAACTTCTTCAATTTAGAAGACAGGCTGATCTTGTAAAATACTGCAGCAAAATTTTACTTATGGCTGTTAAACATAGAAAATGCTGTGGTTCGCAAAACAAATATTTATTACTGAGATATGCAGAGATATACGCAGTGTTACATGCAAAGAAACATAAGCAACGATAAGTACAAGCAGAGATAAGTAAGTACAAGCAGAGTAATACAAGCAGATAAGTAAGTACTAGCAGTGATAAGCGGTTACAGAGGTCATATATATAACTTTATAACAGATCATGGTTTAACAAATCATGAACAAGACACAATAAATAACCAATCAAAAGTACATACAGAAGGAAATTTCAGAATAACTTGGACCTGGCTGAAAGCTAATGAATGTATCGGACGTGACAGAAAGCTATACTTCCTTTTAACCAGTAAGAATGTGATTACAAATATCTCAACACTAACCCTTAATCGCACGTTATACAAAACATAAAAGAATTACACAATTTTTAAACAACTCAATGATAACAGTTCATAGAATTTAGTTTTGGACAAAGCCTTAGTTAACATATCTGCAATTTGTAAACCTGACTGTACATATTCAATTCTAATATTATTTTCCTTTAACAGTCTTACGAGTGAACTTTAATTTTATATCTATATGTTTCAACCTACCTGAAAAGTTTTCATTAGCAATACTTTTAATACATGACTGGTTATCCTAAAAAATATAAGCATTTTTAACACTGGAAATTTCAATTACTACATTTTTTATCCATAAAACATCTTGAATACCTTTACATAAAGCAATTATTTCAGCTTCTGTTGATGAAAGTGCAATACACTTTTGTTTGTTACAGCACCACATAATAGGACAGTATGAAGACATTATAAAGTAACCAGTAATTGATTTCCTATCTTGAGTATCTACCCTCCCCCCCCCAAATCTGCATCTACATACAAACATAAATTTGCCCTTTCCAAATCACCCTTTTTGTATATCAATTTTAAATTTAAGATATTTTTCAAGCACCTAAGAATTCTTTTTAGAGCACGCCAGGCAACATCAGTAGGATGCTCCTGCAGTTGACTTAAGCAATTTACTGCAAAAACAATATCTGGCCTTGTGATGTATGCTAAGTAAAGTAAAGATCCAATTAATTCTTCGTACGGGCCATGAAATGCATTTCCTTTCTGAAAATCAGCTGCTATAGATTTTGGTTCAATGGGAGTTTGGGCTGTTTTACAATCAGACATTTTAAATTTATCAAGTAATTTTTCAATATATGGTTTCTGATCTAAATATAAACAACCAGACTCAAATTTCAATGTAATGCCTAAAAATTCCGAGACCCCCCTCAGATTTTGATATTTGACAACAATGATATTATAATATTTGTTTCTTTTACATCTGAACCTGCAATTAATAAGTCATCTACATAAAGAGCCATAATTACTCTCTTACAATTTAAATTTCTGATGAAAATACATGGTTCAGAGTCCAATTGCTTAAAATTAATTTAATAACAAAATTAAGAAATTTCTGATACCGTTGTCGAGGAGACTGTTTAAGACCATATAAACTCCTTTTAAGTTTACATTTCTTACCACTCATATCATTATATCCTTTTGGCTGGTCCATGTAGATGATTTCATCTAACTTACCGTTCAAAAAAGCTGTCTTGACATCTAAAGTAAAAGTTTGCAAACCTTCATTATTGATAATTACCGGGATTAAACGTAAAGAGCACATACTAATCACTGGAGAAAACGTTTCTGTATAATCTATGCCTTCCTTTTGCATAAAGCCATGAGCAACAAGCCTGGCTTTGTGAGTTCCATCTTGTTTTTTACGTAGAACCCATTTGCAGGAAATAGCTCTTTTATCAGGGGGTAAACTTTGTAGATCCCAGACATCATTATCTTCCATAGATTTTATTTCCTCGTCCATAGCTCTTTTCCATGGTTCTTGTTCTACTTGTGGTAGATTTACAATATCTTCAAATGTCAGAGTGTCTTGTTGTGCAAACATTACTTAGTAAATCTCAGGATCAGGATACCTAACTGGCTGCTTCTTTTCTCTTGAAGATTTCCTTTGTCCTCCTTCTTATTTGCAGTATTTAATTTGCTGTTATCAGTGTCTGAAATTGATTTGTCTTCATTTTTAATGTCATCATTGTCATTTTCACTCAAATCAGAACTATCGGAAATATATTTTTGATTTTCTATTTTCTTCTTTATCTTCATTAAATATTAACATTTCTGGAAACAATCATGCGTCTTGTTTCTGGAATCATTAAACAATATCCCATTGTGGAATAACCTACAAATATCATTCTGGTACAGATTTTTCATCTAAGTTTCTTTCTTTGTGGATGGTGGCACAAGAGTATAAGCATCACAGCCAAATACGTGCACGCATGTTTGTTAAATCAGGATTTTCACCATACTTCAGAAAAATAAGGAACACGATTGTCAATCGAACTATTTGGGAGTTGATTATTTATATAAGCAGCCATAAGTACTGCTTCACCCCAAAGGAATTTTGGTAAATTTTAGCCTCAAGTATCATTGCTCTAGCTTTTTCCAGTACAGTTCTATTTGCTCGTTCAGCAACACCATTTAGAAAAGGTGTATAGGGAGGTGCAA